AAAACTTCCTTATCAGCTGAGAAATAGGAAATTCAGCGGGATTTTTTCGAATACTATCAGGCTATGTTTGCCTTCCGTGGGATAGGCTTAGAAAGATTCAAATTGGAATTTATCAACGCAATGCCGAGGCTGCACGAAGCTGAGAAAGAGAGGCTAGAACAGCCCAAATCCGTCTAGGAGGTGGAAAGTACTATCTTGACTTTAAACCGAGGCATTTTATAACCAATTTAAGCATGTATTATCACCCCTGTCAACCGCGGTATACAACGAAGCCTCTGACCTCAATGCGTTGCCCCCGTCTTTCGCAAAGGCGCGCACCATTTTAATACCGAAAACAAAACATAGGGACAAACTTTAACAGGTAACAGCCTACAGGCCGATTTTATTAACTAATGTTGATTATGAAGCTTTAATGAAGTTGCTAGCTCAAAGATTGCAGAGTGTTATTTCTGGAATAGTTGGCCCACATCATACGTGTGGCATTAGAGGCCGCACAATATTCACCAACATACACAAGGCGCGGTGTGTGCTCGAGTGTTGCGATTAGGGTGCCTTCATGTGCGCTTCGCATAGGGTGATGCCAACGGCCTGTTTGCCTTTCCCACACCCTCGTCCACCGCCATTTTGTTCCTCTCATTGTTTCCCCGTGCGCCGGAAAGTGGCCTTTGTGCCCATCGGTAACCCCATCCGAGGGGGAAAATGCTAATCCTCCCTCCGTGGGTTCCACAACGCTGCTCCGAACTTCTGAGATAAGGTGCTTGTTTCCGGGAGGGTTATAAGCCTCACGGATTATCGCCGAGGAACAAAATGGCTGTTGGTTTTTCGGCTAGTGGTATTACAAAGGATGGCATCACCCTAGCAAAGCGCACATGAAGGCTCCCTAGTTGCGATGCCATAAACGCTGGACTAGCAGTTCTCCAGCTCGATCTTGAAAAGGCGTTTGACTGTGTGGCGCATGATGTTTTGATTGCGATATTGAATTATGTTAACGTGGGTGCCATAATTCAGGAGGGCGAGGCAATGGCGTACGAAAATTGTACTACGAGGTTAATTGTAAATAAGAATCTAGGGGCCCCCATCAAAGTTCACCGATCGGTATAGTGCGCCAGTGTTGCCCCCCCCCCCCCCCCCCCCCCCCTCCAGTCCGCTTCTGTGTTGTATGTATACAGATACCGCCTGTTTAAGGATCAATCAGTGTGAGGAAATAAAAGGTCTCCAACTGGTGTGGGTCAGAAGTAAAGCTTTTGGCCTACGCAGATGACATCGCTGTTTTCTGCACAAAGAGATTGTCGAACGCGCAGTTAAGAAACTTATTGTTTTTTCTGCAACCACTGGAGCAAAATAAATTCGGGAAAATGTATGGGTTTCAAGCCCATGCACGTTTGCAAATGTAAGCTGGGTAACGACCCCAGATAACTGCCTGAGGGTAGTTATCTGGGACTATTATAAAACAGAGGGCAGTATTGGCGGGCGCAAGCGCAGGAAACGAGATAAAACTGAAAAAAATGGAAAGAGCGAGTCTCTCCAAGTTTGCCAAGGCAACCGTGTGTAACTTATTTTTTGCGCCCATAATATGGTTTGTTATGCAAGTGTTGCATTGTTCCCGAGTTAACGTTAAAAAAATTTATAGAGCATTGGCCGTTTTTATTTGGGCGTCATCCTGGAAAAGGTGTGCCAAGAACAATCTGTTCACGCGGGTCCGGGACTGAGGGATCGGGTTGACCCCGCTGTTTCTCCGCCAGTTGGTAAACAGATCTTTGATTTTTTCTCGACACCACTGACCCATTCTTGCGAGGTGTGTTTCAGTTGAGGTTAGCGCGTGCGCTGCCTCAGCTAATAGTGTCCGTCGAGTCCATAGACGGCACTGTTTTGGTGTTTTTTTAAAGAAATTGTATCCTCGGTTCAGTATTTGCAGACACGTTTTTTCATAAAATGTTTAAGTAATGTGTCACGCAAAAAAAAATTAACATATAAGCATAGCGTTTTTTTTTCTTTTAATATACAGGGCGATATATTGTGAACGCCCAGGACACGTTGCTCTGAAAATAGTGAAGCGAATGCAAGTTAAACCAGGGGTCAAGACGTTCTCTTTTTAAACTTCACACAGCTACGCTGTCTGTAAGAACATTTTAAGAAAAAAAGGAAATTTTCGTCCCCTGGGGAACGATCTGCTACACTTGCAAAACCGCCCGAGACAATTGAGCATGTTTTCTTGCATTGTTGGGAGGGAGTCTTCTTTTGGTATGTACCTCAAGGAACTATTCGCAAAGAGTTTCCTCTAGATCAGCATGGTGTTCAGTTCTTAACAATAGACAATGACGAGGAACTGCCTTTTGATTTGCTAATGCTCATGGGCCTCCACAGTCTATGGCGCTCCCGCACGGCGAGGCTTCGTTATGACGCCGTTCCGCGGCCTGCGAGGATGTACTTCCGTGAAAGTGTTATGGCGTTAAAGGCGTTAAAACCCGAGTGGTACAGATTCGTCTGGGGTCGCACTCCGCTCGAGGAGGAGGAGCAAAGAAGGAAGGAGAGGAGAATTGAAGAAGAGGAAAGACGGAAGGAGAGGAGGAATTCAGAGAGAGGAGGAAAAGAGGGTGAGGAGAAAACTGGGAAAAAGCCCCCCCGAAAGTTTGTTGTGAAAAAAAAAAAAGAAGGGGCTTGGTGTTGGAAACAGGGTTGCCAGGTTGGGCTATAAATAGCCAAATTGTGGTAGTTTTATTTGCAGTTGGCGGGAAAAAATGCTAGTTGACTATTTGGCTAGTATTGGACTATTTCTGACCTGTGCATTGGGCAATTTTTGAACGGTGCAGCAACTAAAATGCCTGAAAGCACTTAGGTTTATAGGTCCAAATGTATTTGTTAGAGTAAGTTGCGTGAACATTCGGCGCATCAGTCTCTTAACCCTGATAAGTATGTGACTGCAAACAAATTCGTCTGCTTTTTGCGCGCTTTGAGCAATTGTTTACCTCCGAATCTTGTCCGAATGCAAGCGTGTGCTGTTATTCCTCCATCTCATCAATTGACGCCGCGATTCCTTGCGGCCTTAACAGCGCCTGTTCTGCGCATTCTTTAGATTGCCTTTTTATTGGCTTGCACCTATACTTTGTGTTTAATCCTGCATAGTTTTTCCGTGACGTCATTCTGGTCACCATGCCCGATAGTAAGCGTCCCAATAATACAGTGGAAGGTATGATGTCATGCGCTTGTACGAGAGTTTCAGGAAGTTCGCCGAACGTGCAAGCGACGCCATTTCTGGGACATTTCGGCACCATTGCAGAGCTCACAACACGATGTTCATTATTTATGTTCTAAAATCCTGGAGACTGGAGACGGAGAAAAACGGGACGACACGTGTCTCTACGCACGGCTAAAAGTTCATTTCACAACCAAGTCTGTAGATACCATATAACAGAAAGGACTTGGAACTGACCGAAGAGGCGAAGACCATCCGGGAGGTAAACTGTACCGATACGAAAGGACATAGAAATATGAACAATAGCATATTTTCTGTGCGTGCTTTTGAGTTGCCCTTTGGGGGATGGTACACACTAAACGCGGTATAAATTGTTTTGATTCTAAAATCTAGGATGATGGGGAAAGAAAGAATACAAGTGTCTGTCTAAGCGCCCCTAAAAGTTCGTTCCACAACAGGATTTCTAATGATAAGTGGCACATGACATAAAGATCCAGAAACGAACCGAACACCAACCAGGATGTCAACAAAACGTATGCAAAAAAAAAAATATAGAGATAGTACTATAGGCCTTGAGATCAAAACCGTGTTGGCAGACCACGTACAAAACCAGAAGACTAACTCATTGGTATGTCTTTGAAGTGGTGGTGTGTATCTTCTCTTCTTTTCATCTGGTTTGCCTTTGTCAACTTTCATTGCACTGGCTTGTTGGTTATCCCCCTTGCACTTTGTCTGCTTGGTTAGGGTTCATTGTTCATCCTCTCATTCTTTTCTTGCATTCGGGTAGATATTACTTTACAGTGGACTATCGGTCTACACATGTCTTTTTTTTTTTTTTTTGTTCACATAGCTGTAATTTTGGTTGGTATTCAGTCTATTCCTGCTTCCTTTGTGTTCTGTACTATATAAGGAAGTGCATCACTTCTGTTCGCACTGGAAGGAAAATACCAGTGTCATCGTAACCCGCGGTGGTCATCGGACTCCACGCACTTCGCGAAGCCGCCTAGGGGAAATGGGCGAAGTACAGCCGGACTTACAGGAAGGAATGGGAGAAGGACCCTGAATTCAAAGGTATGTGCAACGTTAACTGATGAGCCTGTAAATATTTAACACTTACTGTTTTTTTTTAATATATATATATAAGGTGCTTGTGAGAAATCCGAACCCGGCTTTTCGCACCGCAAAAATAAACTAGACATCGCGGAGAGCTCAGACTCTGTCCGAACGTAGCTCCAGCCATTCGAGCAAGATGCCAAAAGGTCAGCACCAACCGTTATCTTATTAAAAAAAGTTATAAAGGATTTCTTTTTTTAAATTTTCAATTGAAAAATAGAACCCATTTTGACCGTTTTCGTTTTATGGCGCCATAGAGCTTCATGTATTCGAGAGCTCCGTCGGACTTCATTTTCCTATTGACATTTTCAGGAAATCGCTTATAACTTGTGAATAAGATAACGGTTGGTGCAGAAACTTTTGCACCTTGCTCGAACGGTTGGGGCTACGTTTTGACGGAGTTGGAGCTCCCCGCGACGTCTAGTTTATTTTTGCAGTGCGAAAAGCCGTGTTCGGATTTCTCACAAACACTCGGTATGTTGACATTATGGAGCATCAAACATCTCCGGTTTCGGAAGGGCGGGGCGCGATGTGTTTGCAGGGGTTTAATTAAACCTTTTTTTCTTTATTATAGACTGGCTCGCATCCTCTTCGTCAGGAGATATGGCTTCCTGCAGCGCCTGCAAATCGGAGCTACAAGCTCACGTGCAGGACCTCAGGGCACACCGAAGAGCGGCAAAACATGAAAATAACCATGGCATTGTCCAGAGCGCTGCCTCTTCAACAAAACCAACTGGAGACCTATGTCACTTCACTGCCCAGGCCTCCAAGCTACACACGCGAAACCAAGATCGCCGAGTTGCACCTTGCAGCGCATATCGCCGTTCACGGATCACTGGCCTCCGCGGACCACCTTACTCCACTGATCAGCGACACCTTCAGAGACTCATTCGTTGCATCATCGCTCTCCATGGGCAGGACCAAGTGCACGGCTCTCGTCACCAAGGTGCTTAAACCAACTTTCAAGGAGCTGCTTTTGGACGACGTAAGAGGCGGCAAGTTTTTCCTTAAGGCCCGTTCACACAGTTGCGTTCGGAGCGACCACTACGTTTACGAACGAATGCAACCGGTTGGAACGATGAGCTACCATAGGAACGAAGTGCCAAACGGTCGTTTCGTTCGTGTTCGTTCGCGACGCAAGGAGTTGCGCCGGGCTGAACTTTTTCGTTACGTTCGGGAACGACGGGAGCGACAGACCAATCACAGGTCGAGGTGAGCTCGGTCGCGCGCGTTGCATGCCGGTCGTGCCAGGTTCCTTCTATTTGCAAACATGGCGTCGGTGGTGATCGTCGATGTGGACGGCGTGGTGGAAGCTCATCGTTCAGCGTAAAATTGCTATCCTTGACTGTGAATTTTCGTCGTGTGTCGTTACGATAACCCAGCATGTACTAGAAGGGAAGATCCACCTACTCGTGCGGCGATCTCGTGGCGGCACTCGCAACACAACAGAAACGCCGTGCCGTCGTGTTTGTTTACTTCGACTACAGTGGTGCTTTCTAAGCATTTTGTGTCCTCGAACATCGCCCGGATTTCATTTTTGGTGCATTCCATGCGTGTGCTCAAGTTCAAGGTATTACTGGTGCGTACCCAAGCGTGTGCTCAATTTCAAGGTATTACTGGTGCGTACCGTATAAAGGATGCGAATTTTTACGTGTTTTCATCACCCGAGAAAGGTGATTAGTATTAGCAATCCTGAAGGCTCGCAACGCGTCGTCTCTCTGATCACGAAATTATATTTCTACGTTGCTATATCGCTGCTAACATTACGTCGTCCTTTATAATCCTAGAAAAGGCGTGTGGCGAGATTTGTACTGTTGGCTAAGTCGTGTATTAAAGTTGTGATCGTGCAAGACGGCGTACTGCATCTTTTTTTCTTTTTTTAATGCACACCCTGCAAGCGTATCCTGAGAAATAAAAAAAAATAAAGTTTGTGGTCATAGAAGACGGTCTGTCTATTTTCTGTTACGCAAGTGAGTGGCAGCGCGTCCACTTCTTAGAGGCACCGCTGAAACAGCTGACGGCGGCGGAGAGGAGGTCACCGTGCTGCCGACGCACAGCGCTTGTTGTAGTGGTTGCAGGAGTGTACGCGCAGCGCAGAGCGGTCGTTCCGGTCACAACGGACGCAGTCGTGGATAACGGGTTCGTTTCAGATGTCTGAAACGCAGATCTTGGTGACAGCAGATCTTGAAACAGCATAAACAGCAGAAACAGCAGATCTTGGTGACTGTACGCCGTAGCCGAAACCTGCGGCTGCTCCGATGAGGACGGTGGACCTCGCGTCGGGCATCGGCGTCCGCCATGTTTGTAAGCGTAGCTGGGTTGCTTACTATTAGCTAGGAGCAGGGATGGGCAGTATTTGAAATACGTATTTCAAATACTTTGTGTATTTTGCATTTGTATTTAATTACAAATTGGGTAATGTGTCTGACGTGTGTATTTATATACCAAAACGAGGGTATTTCAAATACAATTGTAATTAAATACAATTTTGTGGGCAAAAATACATCCCTCAAATTTATTGTCACGATAATTCTTTTTTTTATGATATGGTTGTAAGATACAGTCTCCATCCTTTATTCGGCCAAGGGGCTTTTTTTCTTTTTCTCCTCCGGCTTTATTTTAAAGGCACTGTCCAGAGCAGGAACAAAACTACGTTCTGCATTGAAGGCAGTGTCTCTCAATCAAGCAGAAGCGTTTAGTGACTTCGCGATTACGGTGCTAGTCCACGGCAAGAATGGTGACGAAATCGACGTTCACAGGCAGACTGGCTAAATAAGTGCCTGTGACAACTTGTGATGCTTTCCAGCCTGATTTCCATCCATATGTTTGCCTGGAACATTCTAAATGCGCGGGTCGTCCAGATTTTCGTAACTGGTGCGAGTTGCAACAAAAAGGGCCGGTTGCACCAACGTCGCTTACCTTAACACAAAGCGGCTCTTTCTTAAGCCGGCTTAGCGTGCTAAACCGAGCTCGGATAAGCACGGGTTTAAATTCCGGTTGCACCAACGTAAACCCGACTTTACAGACGCGCCCCTAGCTAAACGCTGAATTTGCCCAGGGAATGTAGGGACAAACAGAGTACACTAGGGAACACTCAGAGGGATGAATACGATTGGCGGAAAGGAATCACGTGATATAAACAAAAAAACTGCCGAAGTAGTCGTCGTCGGCGTCTGCTTTTCGCTGTATTTCTTCGGTGAGTAACAAATTAAAGGTCTCCGAATTCAATGATTTTTTCGCTTAACTTTCAATAACAGAAGTCAAAGCTTTAAATAAACACGAATGCTCCTTACATCTGTGATTGTGTGTTTAATATCGGTTGATAACAGGATATTTTGACAGTGGCAGTAGTTTTCGTGCTCACATATTGAGGTGAAGGAGCCATCGGGGGCCCCAAATCTCACCGAACGCGAGAAGGACACTCTACTCGCTACATCGCTGAAGACAAAACATCATCGAGAATAAGTAGGCAGGTAAGATGACTACTAAAATCAAGTCATGCCTGAGACCGATGAAGTTCAAAACAGTGATGAACTCGCCACGGCAGCTGCGAAAATGCCCGGAAATCGTCGAATAGAAGTCGTCAAGAGGTCAGGTCACGAGACCTTGCATCGACGGTACTCGTCGCTATCAGCAAGGTGACATAACTGCATTGAACCGTCGTTGAACATCCGCTGCAGCCTCAAACGAACTTCAATTTCACAATGTCGAGCTCCGAAAAAAAAAAAAAAAACTCCCACTAGTACATTACATCATGCCGATAAGAACGGTCGTCTCTTCGCATCACCTGCCCCAGCCTGTCGCGATACAGCAATGAACGAATCTAACATAGTAGTCGTTACGATTTGTCATCGCCACGAATGAAAGATATGAAGCAAAATATTCCTAAAAAAATCGCGATCACCGAAAAAGTTACGGTTATGGAACGATACAGTTTTCTGAAGCCAAGATTCTACTCGCGAGATTAGGAAAATTCACTGAAGATTGTCTCAAAACTCAGAAAACGACAGAAATTGAATTTTCGCTGTTTTATTACTTAAAAACGCCGCAATCTGATGCAAACGGCAGAGGTGTCGACAATCACCACTTTTTAACGCGCTGATCGGAGGGAAGGATACGCGCTGCAAGTGTAAATAAACAAGGTGGTAAATAACAATACGTTACAGTTATGCCAAAATTAGTAAGTACATACGAATAAGCTCGTTGACAGAAGAACCAACGGGAAGACAGACGTGAGCCCCACAGCTCCGTGCCTATCTCAGTTAGGGCTAACACGCCCCGAGAGTGGAGAGCCAACTTGAAAACAGGGGTCGATAAACACTTCACGTGACAATATTGTGCATCCTTGTCACAATCAAAGGTCATTCTGTCGAAACTTTCCCGCTGATGTAGCCTAAAACACTTTGCACAACCAATTTCGTTCACCGCGTCGACCGCGACAAACCAGCCGCCATGTTTTAAATCCGGGATTAAGAAACAACCAAAAGCCAAGCGCCCAATGTTGAGCGCTCAAGTTAGGCGTAGTTTAGTGCTTGGTTTAGCGATAAGCGATTTTGGTGCAACCGAACGAAACCGAAACTAAGCTTAAGTTCCCGGTTAAGCTCCGCTTTGCGCTAAGCGGCGTTGGTGCAACCGGCCCTAAGAAATTCTCTAGCTAGTGCTGCACGTCTTGGTCTTCTCGGTTCTTTGTTGGTCTATACCAAAATGTAATCGACAAAAAAAGCTGCTTGAAGCTCTGTACTTTTTTCATCTATTACGTCCAAGCTGATTACATTTTTTGTGATTATATTTCTATTACGTTACTAGAGCCTCGCACACTAGCTCCCGAGTGTGCGATGCAAAATTAAAATGAGATACCTAGAAACCCGTTGCAGGTGCCCTGAAGTCGCTGACGCAAATTTTGAGGAATGTATTTGGAAAAGTATTTGGAGGAGACCAAATACATTTGGTTGTATTTGTATCTTGTAATTAAATGCTTTTTTGCAAATGTGATTAGATTTGTAATTAAATACTTTTTTGACAAAGTATTTTGTATTTGTATTGCGATACATATTTGCATGTATTTTGCCCATCCCTGGCTAGGAGCAAGAGCTGAAGCTCGTTTCTCATTGGCTGTTGATTCGTGTGGTTGCATGTGTGTGTACACGTCGCGTACAGTTGTCGATGAAGTCGCAGCGGTTGCATTCGTTCGTGAGCATAGTGGTCGCTTCGAACGCAAATGTGTGAACGGGCCTTTCTTCTTGATGAGAGTACGGACGTTTCTTCGACGAAAGAGCTGGCTGTTGTTGCGAGGTACTACTCTCGCGAGAAGAATGCCTTTTGTACTGCTTTCCTGGGGCTAGTCCCAATTCTAGACGCCTCATCTAATGGGCTTTTTAGCCATTTGAGCGAATTTCTAGACAGCTGCAAACTTTCCATCAGTGACTGCGTCGGAATCGGTACTGATGGGGCAAGTGTAATGTGCGGGCAGTGCAACAGCTTGTATACAAGAATGAGGGAGTTAAACTCTAACCTTGTGTTGGTCAGGTGTGTTTGCCGCTCTCTCCACCTTGCGTGCAACGAGGCAGTGGACGTGCTGCCGACGCAGATTGATTATCTAGTGCGAGAAACATTTAACTGGTCTTCCCATTCTCCGAAGAGCCAAGAGTTTTATAAGAGTATTTATAGTGCCATTAACTGCGGCTTTTTGCCGAGAACGTTGGTAGGTGTGTGCGCGACGCGATGGCTCAGCATTGCTGGTGCTCTTCGTGCGATACTTGACCAGTGGACGGAGCTTAAGACCCACTTCGACGTTGCAAAGACAACTGAGCGATGCTATTTGGCTAAAATGCTCTTCGAGATGTTCAGTAATGAGCAGAACTCTTTGTTTGTCCAGTTCCTAAGCCCGATTGTAGACGAATTTGACAAGCTTAACAAAGTCTTCCAGAGCGAAGACCCAGATCCATCAAAGCTGTATGCAGTTCTGAGTTCGTTCGTGAAGTGTTTACTTCAGCGAGTTGTTCTCCCTTCTCACGCCTCCGCTGACTCGGATTGGGAAGGCCATTTGTTACATGCTAGGGCTTGTCACATGGGAAGTCTTTTCTGCAATGGTTCGGAAAATTCGTCACTCAGCGAGGACGAGAAGACTGCCATTCTCGAACGGTGCCGTGCCTTTTTGGTTGCATGCATTAAGAGTGTCCTAAAACGTTTGCCTTCGAATTTGAAGTTATTAAGTGACCTCCACCTCTTGCACTGTAACAGTATTGGCAAGCTTTCTCTTGATTTTTTGTTTAAGGCATTTTCCCAGCTCATGAGGTTGTTCGATGTTTCCGCTATGGAGTCAGAGTATATCCTTCTACAATGTAGGCTCCGTGGCTTTCGTGACGACTCTGTCGCGAAATTCTGGAAGGATGTGAAAGAAGCCACAAACAGTGCTGGATCGTGCATGTTTCCATTGCTATCGCAACTGGCCGTATCTCTGCTTACGTTGCCACTGTCCAACGCTGCCGTTGAACGTGTGTTCAGTCAAGTCACCCTGACAAAGACGGACTTGCAAAACAGGATGTCTATGGAAACACTCAAGAATATTTTGTACGGCAAATTCGGACTGTGGGGCCAACAGCAGTGCTGTAAGGACTTTGTTCCCTCGGAGGTTTTTCTCACACGTGTCAATACTTCAGTAATGTACCCATGCTCTGCCATTGACTCTGCGAAATAGTGATGTGTGAAAATCTCTATTTGATAGAGAAAAATGTATTCTGTGTCTTTCGTGTTCAAAATAAACGTTTCAAATGATCAGTTGTTTTTTTTGGGGGGGGCTATTTTTGGATTATTTTTCGGGATCGACATTTGGCTATTTGTGGGCTATATCTCGTAGACGTTTGGCGGGTTGCAGTTCAGACACCTAGAAACTCTGAATAAGGGTGGCGATGTGGGTTAGTTGGTTCATACTGACGAAAAGGCAAACAGCGCACAGTAAACGGGGACTAGAAGAAGTGCAAACAGGACAGGCGCTTGTCCTGTTTGCACTTCTTCTAGTCCCCGTTTACTGTGCGCTGTTTGCCTTTTCGTCTTCTGGCAACTCTGGTTGGAAACGTCCTCCGGCGAATTTTTGTGGGTACTCTGTTGTGGGGACGCAGACGATTTGGAATCCGATATCTTCTTACGTGCTTAGGGCCTTCTAGCAGATTTAGAAACTCTGCATGTTTCTGGATGTTTGACTAAACGCTGGTTGCTTATTGTTACAGATAATTAATTGGGTTAATATGTTTAATACCCTCGGCTCAGCGCACCATGGAGATTTGTAAGCGGAGGCGAATCTGTACTACCCGAGTCACTCTACCCAAATGGTTATTAAGAATTGAACCACTGACAACGTTAAGAGATTTTTAAATGTGACAGCGCCAGCCGAAGACTGGCTGGCGGCCAAACACTTTATATTCTATATGGCTGTCATTTATGAATGTGTGTCATGTCGACCCCAGGCAATAAAGAAAAATAATCTTTCAGCCTTTCCACTCTGGCGTCTATAGAAAAATGATTTTTTTAAGTCGAAAACATTGAGTCCCGCAATTATTGCTGTAGGAATGCATGTTTTATACAGAAATACTTTGACAAAATGGCGAGACGCAGTAATTGGACACAGCAAAACATATCAAAGTTAAAATTCAGGTAGACGTAGTCAACGCGGAACGGCTAGACAAGGGACATTGACGATGATGGAAGCGATGTTATCGCGTGCAGCCACTAAATTCTTCCATTATATCCCGGCCACATGGCAAAATAAATGTAATTTCCATCGAATGACATTATAGGGTTCACAATTCATCTTGCAACGCTTGTATAATCATTCAAGATCGCGAGCTTATTAAGTCCGATATCATTTAATGAAATATATTAACTTTTTCGTGTGGCAGGGGTACTACACTTACAATTTACAGTCAACTAATTTACTTCTTCCTATGGGCTTGAGCTGCCTTAGAACAAAATAGAACTTATTTTGTAAACAATAATAATACTACCTTAATACAGTTAAGATTGTAGTATAAACGCTGTAAAGGCAATAAATTGACATTAGTATAAATTAACACATTAACACATGTCGACGCAACTCCAGACGGATAACAACGAAAAACAAAATTCCAATCTGCCACAAAAAAAAGAAAAAAACGCCTCCAGCGTTTTGTTTTTGTCCTACGTGACCAAAAAAGCCCGTAAATAAGTTGTTTCTCACCTTTTGATCGTATCCGTACGTCCCACTATATCTGGCATGAAAACATTTGAACACAAACTCCAAGAAGCCTCTCCCTGTCGAGAGGTCTATCGATAATCGACCAGTGTCACCGCTGGCTAGTTGTCACACATGCCACTCAAACTGTAGCAGGACTTGTTCCGCGAATCCACGTCAATGCCGTAGTATCAAGTGAACACAAAAAAACTACCCGAGACTGCGCTGACCACAGAAAAACGGCGGGAAGGGTCAAAAGAACCCACAAGAGAAGCGGCAGCAGTGTTGTCGACCCATCTCTTGCTCGTGTACGTTTCCTGCGGCGATGACTGGATTTTTTTTTTTTTTGGTTCCCTTCCCCTCTGAATGTCTCAGTGTTCCTTTTTAGTCAGTCAGCAGCTCAAACACAACGTAAATTTACCAGAATCGGAGCCCGTTCGTAGGAAAAAAATGTCGCACCGGGCCGGTTCATTCGAAAAGAGTAATCCCGCGGTTACGGGGATAATTATAAATATAAAACTGGTACTTTCAACCTTGGCAGCGCGTTGTATAGTACGTCTATATTATATATATATATAATAAATTGTACAACACTGCCTTTTAAAACATATATTAATGTTGAATAAACGCTCAAACACCACAAGGTTTTTTTTGTTTTTTTTCATGTCGATGCTACATATTTTGTCGCGTAGTGGCGCCTGGCCTTTCTTCTCCGACATTTTCACGCAACCACTCGGAAATCACTTCATGAGTTACAGCGGCCCTGTAAATATCAGAATGAAATGATAACTCAAAACGAACTTGTCTGCGACGGTAGCAGCACCACTTGCTATTCCAGGCTGTAAATAAATGATCTCGTCACATCACGGTGTCTTCTTGCTTACATGACGATCCGTCAAAACTTGAATTGAAACAGCTGATTTCAACAATCCTTCATATATTTCGATAAAATCACTTTTTATCGCGATTATCTCGCCCCACGCCAGCCTTCCGTGCGGCGTTTCCCGCGTTTTTGCGCTCAGTGCGCCACCTGGGTGCGGTGTCGGGAACCGGCTAGCAGACTGCGAACGGGCGGGTATAAGCCATGGGAAATGCGCATCTGCCATTTTCGTTATCTGTCTAATAATTCGCTACTCCCGAGCTGACGTCTGAAAAAATAGTAAAAAAAACTGAAATAAACGACGTTCGTGTGCCCTATTTCAGGTATGTACGTTTGAAATTCGGTTTTTGTTAGGCTAATATAGGAGTTTTTACGGCCACACTCTGTACTAAAAATGACATCCACCAACTTCAAGTCATTCAAAGAAAGGTTCTTTGATTCCTATTCGGTCAATATAAAGGACTCACCAGCTAAGCCTATCGCAAACAACCAAATTCCGTCTCTACAATTACAAAGGCGCATAAACCCCATATTATTTTCTAATAACATTGTCACCGAACACAAACATAATATCCCCTACATTACTTAACCAATCAAGCTCAAGGAGAACACGTCACACCAGGGAACATTCAATCCCAATTCATTTTCGCGAAAACAAACTTGTTGAAGCACAGCCTTTTCCCCTCGTATTGTGTCCGAATGAAACTTTCTTGCGGAAGCTATTTTTCAACGCCTAATTTAAGGCAAGCCCTGGAACAGAATTTTATTTATTAACATCGCCTTCGTGCAGCATTTTCTTTTCATTTCTTTTGTATTTTTGTTAAAAATGATGAATTCCGTTTTTGCTTTTAATATTTTTTTTTATTGGAGCGTTGCTTAGCGCATTGCAATTCTACTTTTGTTTGTGCTCGTTAAAACTATCCGACTGATTATTATGACAAAGAACCTGGCCTGCCGTATCGTGAAATAGATGCATACTCATACCCTGGATACATTATTGCAGCAGACGATTTCTTCGGCAGACATGTCGGTCACTGAATATCGACCTCGCAGCATATCTTGCCTCTAACGATTGCGCGAGGACTGGGAAGAAACGCGGCACCACGCCCTCTTTCGTATTTTGATACAACCAAAACAGCACATAAAATTAATGACGTCGCGCTGATGTGAATACACAGGTGGTGGTGGAGTGTTTTCCTCGATTCCAAACAGCACACAGAACCAGATATGTTTTCATGTATAATTTAAGCCATGGTGCATCGATAAATAAGTCAATATAGCGTCACTAATTTATGCTAGACTTTCGGAGTCGGACGTCGCAAACTGGAGGAAAGCACGTGCTTTGCTTAGATATGCAAAAGCAGCAGCAGCATTTCTATTTTTATTTATTGCGTGCCCAAAGCACCGTGAAGGCTTTGATATAGGTGCACATATAAGTCACACATCAGCTCAACATGCAAACACGTGAAATACAGTAGTGACACATCAATCGTAATAAAACAAGTTACAGACACAACTCGGTATTCAAAGTAAAATAAGGCATGGAAAAGAAATCATGCTGCACAAGTCTATTGCAAAAAAGTTGAAGTCTATGCATTGGTGACCCTTCACTCTGCTTGCCAGGGTAAAACGTGTCACAGAGTCGCGTGTGTTTAGCTGGCACACGTAAGCTTGTACTACTCAAAAGATCAGGTACATGGAAGCGACCTTGTATGAGCTTCTGTAAAAACAACACATCTCGGCAATGCCTGCGGTCAATAAGGGTTCTGAGGTTTAAAACTTTAACAAGAAAATTATAAACGTAGAAAAATGTTTGAACAGCACTTGAAATAGAGTCTCCTGTTAAAATGCCTATCGCATACTATGCGTATCAGACGCCTTTGTACCATTTCAATTAGTCTACATTCGCTATGTGATTGAAAGTTCCACACAACAGACGCAAATTCAAGTCGTGGCCTAACCAAAGCACAAAATAAGCCTAATATAGTATCAGGTGCCTGGAAGTGCCGAGTCAAACGAGCGATCATACCGAGCACTTTAAGACCGGTCCCACAAATGTCAGTGACATGAGATTTGAACAATAGTTTAGTGTCTACTAGCACCTCCAAGGTTCCTCACTACATCAGTACG